TAGAACGCTAAGAATCGGGGTTTGATATCCGCGGTGGGAAGTGCACAAATAGCCTATTGTGTAGCCTCGTGCTTAAGAACGAAGGAAACTAAGCAGTAAGAAACAATAAAATAAAACATGTTGAGCTTGTATATTTGTGTGTGTGTGTGTTAAATACACAGAGCATTAATTTCTAACAGGTCACCTTCATTACACATATGAAATTTCAAATGTACTTTTTTGCTAAAATGATAGTTTGATAAAATGATGATAAAACCCTAAATTAAATATACATTGTTAAACTCAATACACACTAATTATATAGATGTCATATATATGTCATTATTAAGGACGACACTAACACAATCACTAGGATAACACATTCATTCCATAATAACATACTTCGTGCGTCGCAACAAGTTGGCCACTTTATATAGTTAGCGAGTGTTACTTTTCGTAATGCGTATCCAAAAAACGATTTGTGCTTAGAAAGCTATTTTCTTATTTTTTCATTAGTGACAATTCCTGCTTTTATTATTTGATTTACTAGTCAGTGTAAAACAAGTAGTTTGTTTGTTGCGCCATCTGTTGGTAGGTTATAACACCAGATTCTCTCGTTCTATATTCATGTTCGACTAAGGCTGAAATTACAGTAGGCACTGTAAACTTAATACTTTATGATTATTATTATTTTGTAACAATATCAAATTTATTATCGTTAGCCTGTTGCAACACATACATGATTAGTCGAATTCCAACTATAAATAAGTCTAGCCTCTGGCAAAGCTACTCAATGACGTTAAAATAAGCATTATTATTTTTAGTTTTGTTTTCACTTTTTGTGATTATGATACTGCACAAATTCACCTCAAAACAAACAATATGTAACTCTGATTGATGATGAGTTCAGGCTCCATACGAAATCAAAGAAATAATGTAAGTTAGAGTTGTGTTGGACTTTAAGACAACCAATAAAAACGATGACATGCCATTTGTAAGTCATATATTGGATCACAGAAATGGAACATCAAAAATAAAGTAAGCAAAGTACCATAAAATTAAGCGATGGTAACAGATATGAGTGAAAGAAATTAACTCTTTTTTTTTATAATTATAACCCGAATATTTTAAAAGTGAGAAACATTAAAAATGTTATGCATTCCAACAGAACTTGAATGTAAACACAAAATTAAGTTTCTGTGGCGATAAGAAGTGAGAGAGAGAGAGGTAAGTACATTCCTTTACAGATTTTACAGGGATGTGTTTCTAAAGCACTTAAAACATACAGAAAAATGATAGCTTAATATAGTCTGACATAGTAACGCGTGTGTTATTAACAGATCTAATATTCATTAATAGTCTTTTATTAATATCAACGTGATTCTCCGCTTTGAAATTAGTTAGTGGGTACAATAAACGTTTTTATACCAATCGAATAACAAAATTGAAACAGTAGAAAGTACGATGAATACTAGCGATTATGATTTGACATTCTCGAAAATACAAAGTTGTCTGAATATCACTTTTAGTGAGGAATCGCTGTGTAAAGCCGTCCATAGACATCCTTTCCAGGCTTAAGCAGTGAATGAATTCTAAAACTTGCAACTGATTCAAAACAGTGTAATTTAAATTAGCTGAACATCCAGTGCCAATGTATATAGAATACTGTAAAGTATCTACTTTTTCTTCAGTAAAATATTTCTGTAGCTGGGCGTTTTTGTTCCCATTCTGCTGCTTAATGCATGTTATTTTGTTAATATGCATTTATGTTGAACAAATGTAAAACTAAACTATGCTCTGAAAGAATATGATGCGAGAAACTTT